TAGAAGAGCGTTACCTCTGGTTGGCCCGTGTACTTCCTGTGTCAAGTAGAGCTCTTTGATACAGGTCAAGAAGCAACACGACCAATCCAACTTAGCTGAGTATTCCTCCCAAGAGATATCTGAGTAATTGAAGTCACGCATGACAACCATGTCCCATGCATGCGCTGCCTCTGCCAGTTCTCAAGAGAACTCCAAATCAAGCTTCTCCCCCTGGTGGTCTGTAGTATACACCTACAATTAGGTCTCTCTCACTATGCCCCCCACCCCGTAGTTTTACCTCATAGTTTGTCCAGATAGTTAATGAAGATATTGAACAAAACTGGCCCCAGGACTGAACCCTGGGATACTCCACTTGATAGCTGCTGCCAACTAGACATTAAGCCATTGATTACTATCTGTTGAGCCAAACAATCCAGCCAGCTTTCTGTTTACCTTACAGTCCACTTATCTAACCCATACTTCCTTAGCTTGCTTTCAAGAATGCTGTGGAAGATGGTATCAAAAGTCTTGCTAAAATCAAGCAAGGTTCTTTGAGCAGATGTGAGATCTTTTATTAGACCAAGCGAGTAGTTGGAAAAAAGTTCTTAGCAAGCTTTTGGGCTCAATTGCCCTTCTTCAGGCATAGGAAGTCTGAGGAGTCTCAGAACAGCAGAGATTTCCTATGCGTGAAGAAGAGTGATTGAGAGAGGGCACCGCCACACGGCAGGGCAGGTGGCCTCAATCAGAAGGACTTGGCTCTTGCATTCGTGTCGCCCCAGCCTTCCTCTGGGCCATGTGCCCCAGCAGGCCGGTTGGCTGGTTCCCGCCCCTCTCTCATGTCCCCAGGTTTCCCCCTGGCGTCCATGCTCTGTCCCTCCCTCCCCCGCACCCACTGACAGTTCTCATTGCAGCTGGTGGCTCGCGGGGCTAGGGTGAGTGCAGACAAGCTGCGCTGCATCCTGTGCTTCCCAGGGCTCTGCTTGCTGCCACTCCTGCCAGCACCTGCCCACAGTAGCCATGGAAGCAGCCAACACCAGTTGCCTGCACCACAGCATGGTGTAGCCCAGGAGCTGGGGTGAGTGGGGACAGATGGAGTCCAGGCATGGGGGGACAGGCGGAGCATTGTGCAGCCCTGGGAACAGAGCATTGTGCAGCCCTGGGAACAGCACCCCTCCCCCTGTCCCTTCCCTAGTCCTAGCTTCACTCCCTCCCTCCCTCACCGCCTTGGGGAACCTATCCCTATTTGTTACATTACAAAGTGGGTTCACTTTATGTCAGGTAAACCTGTATAGCCTATGGCTGAATCTCTGGATCAGCCCTGAATCTCTCCATATCAATTCAGAGGCTTCTGATTCAATTCTAACCTCTTAGTGAGTCTCTTGATTCGATTTGGTTTTGGCCGCCAAAACTGGCCAGATCTCCTCCAAATTGAATCAGCTACTGTAGCTTCACACAGCCCTAGTTTATACCCATCCATGACAGTGCTCCAATCATGTGTGTTATGCCCCCAAATCACTGTTATTTCAGTTGTCATAGGTATGACAGACATCTGCTCCTGACTACCAGATCAGCCACTAATTTTGGCTGCTATTTAATTTAATCCAGTGAGATTTGTAAAGACATTTCAAGGCATTAATAATTTAAGGTTATTGATGGATTTAACTGAACTCAGATCATTGGCAGTGTTATTTTTAGATCTGAAAAAAAAAAAATTTCACAGTACTTTTTGATATGATATGAAGATGGCTTCATGAGGATTTCCTCACTGAGATTTAATTTCAGATTGAGGCCCCTGTGGCAAGGGAGGGAGTGGGGATGGGGCAAGTGCTGCCCAGCTGGCGTGGGGGCTGAACCAAGGGTTGGGGCTGGGGTTGAAGCTCAAACAGCTGACTCCCCTCCCCCCTACTGCCTTGTACTCAATCCAAGACAAGGGGCCTTTTCTCCTACGTTAAATGGGGGAAAAAATCTTGTCTTGGAATTGAGTAAATATGGTACCCATCAAGCATTGGACTTTTATCTAATATTTTATTCTTGACTTGTGTCAGCTCTCCTTTTGACAGAACGTGTAATGGAATGCTTATAAGAGTAAGTTTGGAGCTACTAGTAGTAAAAAACATCGATATCCAGAAACCACTGCCATTTTGATTCATATGCTAGGATTTGTCTTAATATTTGATTCTAGAAGGAAGTCAGTAATGAACCTAACTTTGACAGTGCGTTAAAAGGAGAACATGTTATTTTGATCTTAATAGATTTCAAAATAGAATCTTGTTTATTCCAAGAAGCTGGTTGTACAGAATTCTAAAAGCAGCTGCAACGTTTGTTCTTGTATATTGGAAATCAGTAGATGTGCACTGATACATTGCACCAGGCTCTTCCTGGTGCGTGGGGGCTGCACTCAGGGCAGGCGGTGGTGCTGGGAGGAGGGTTGGGGGGGGTGCAGCTATCCCAAATTTCACCGTAGCTCCTCCCAGTGCTGCCGCTGCCTGTCCAAAGTGCAGTCCCCATGTGGCTGGAGCGCGGCCCCACAGCTCTGAGGGCAGCCCCCACACGCCAGGAAGAACCCAGAGCAGCCCCTGCCCCTCAGGTCAGATCCAGAACACGTGCCCCCCCACCCTCCAGGGGTGCACGCAGCAACGGGAGCTGCACCCCCCGCCCTGCACCCCCCAGAAGAGCCATGGTTCAGTCTTGTGCCCCGTCCCCTCAGCTGGGCAGTGCCTGCCCCAGTCCCTGCCCCATTCCCTCCCTCAACGTGGGGGGCATTGATCTACACCCTTCACATTCTTTCCCTCCCCACTCCCCATCCACCACAACAGACTTACCAGCTGCACACAGCTATATCGGAAATCCGATCGGTATCGACTGATATGCCTCCTTAAAAGTTAGCTCTTGGTATCGGTCCTCAAAATCTCTATTGGTGCACCCCCAGAAATCAGAATATGGTCTATAGATGGAAGAATAGCATACAGTTAAAGAAATGTTAGTGATGATAGACAGGATCTGCTTTCTAAACAAAAATTATACAAATAATAAGTTGACAGGTATGGGCAGACTTTATAGAAATTGTGAACTATATTGGGAAGTAGGATGACTTCTCTTGATATACTTTTTCTTGGCTTTTAGTTCTTTTGTTTCTTTGATTCATCTTCTCTATATAACCTTTTTAAAGGAGTTTTTTGTTATATGAGTTAATATGACCGTCATTCTTTTTATGGCAATTTGAGAGATAAATATTCAATACAAACTGAAATTTAAAATGTACTCGTTAGTGTTCTACATTTTAAGCATAGTATTTTTAGTGTTTTTTTTATTCCATTGACTAATATATTTCTCTAGATACATTTTTAAAAACTGACTTGTTTTTTTAACTAAGTTTCATTTGCTTCACCGTAGCCAAAAGTGTGATAAAAGGGAACAGAAGATTAAATATTGTTCAAGTGAAGAAATCCATCCAGTGAATTTTATTTCATATTGCATTTCGAATCCTGGGATATTGAACTGGTCCTGAAAACAAAGTTACAGCATTGATAATATTCAAAATATCCTTCTGAGAGAGAGTACAGTAGTATAGTCCAGGGCTTTAAGCTTGTGTGACTTGATTATGTGAATATTACCCTGTTCTGCTTTCCAGCCAGCTCTATTCTTGTACACAGGAGTGTTATATACTAGAAACATGCTGTCTTTATAGAAACAGGAGGCATACCAAGTGGAAAAACAGTGCTGTATTTTCCAGCCAACCAAATCCCTCAGTAGCATGGCATAACTTTTGACATCTGGCCTTTCAGTTCCACCTATAATAGAACATTTAGAATGATGTAATTCATTGCTATTAAAAATCAAAGAGTGTAGCCACTCTGATTATTTTAAGAAAATTTTTCAGTGTTGCTTTTAAGAAGGTACAAAACATAATGGTGCTTAAAATGCTCAGAATAGACTGTCTCAACCAAGAGTCTCCCAAATGGAGCTATAGCATGATTATGGAAGAGTCCTCCAAAAATATGATGATATGGACAAGGTCTGAATGCTGAATTCAGAGAAATAAGTATTTTTTTGAGGTCAGGTAGTTTAGGCTCATATCTGAGTTTTGTGTCAATATTTAGAAAATCAAACTAGGAGGTGTTTGCTGATCAAAGAAAAGATTAAAAACTGAGGCAAGTTTCCTCATCTCAGACTTGAATTATACACTTCGGAGCATACCACATGGTTGGGATATGCAGACCAGAAGAGGTTAGGAATTTGTTTCAGTCCTTCTGATACTCTTCTGTATCTTGCAGATTTCTTATAGAACACTTGTATGGGGAATGAATCAGTGAGCAGTCATGTTTAGCTTAGATTTTATGCTCTCTGTACATAAAGAGTTCCTTGCCCAGGTTCTGACCAAATGCTACTGATCTGATTAAATTTTGACCAAAACCATTTTTGCCCTTTGGGAATAAGTGGTGTTTGGGAGAAATCTTTCACATTCATTCATTCAAAAAGAATGGAATTTGCTTGTTACTAGTTAGGAGGGTTTTTCAATAATTCCTTCCCTGGTATAGATCATAGTATATGAGAACCCAATAGATTTATCTTTGCAACTGTCCTGGATGGCAGGGAAGTGCTCTTATCTCATTTGACAGTTGAAAGCTGAAGAAGAGAGAAACTGTGTAATTTGCCAAAGGTCAGCTAGCGCAGAAAATCAAATCAAAGTCTCAAGAGTCCCAAGTGTTTTTCCGTCCTCTAGGACAGTAGGCCCTCCTCCCCACAACCCGTTCCTTCCATCTTCCAAATTCTGATGTTTTGATCCCATTTATAGGATTTGGTCCACAGTTTGTTGCATAGAACAGAGAATTTAAACACCATTTTAGATAGTTTTTTCAGATTGAGCTTTCTTGTTTATTCTACTGGGCTTTGCCGTATGATCTTGTGGAATGCTTTGAGAGAAGTATGAATCTCTTTTCTTCAGAACACAAGAGTGTCTGAGATGTGGTCAGTTTACAATCATTGCTAAAGGATGCTTTAATTTGCTGTTTAAATTAAAGGGCGGGCTGGACGTGTTTCCAGGGGATATTGCTACAGGCTTGTAAGCAAGGACTTCTGGATAAACTGTATTCCGGAGAATGCAGTACCTGAGATGTTGGTAAGAATTGTTCTCTGATATAATTTTTCTAATGTTTTTTTTCACTGTTTTGTAATGCAAGTAATAAGTGAAATCTATTTCTAAAAATAAGTTGTTATAAAAGTTACTCATATGTTCAGATATAAACCATTTTTATTTATATTAGAAGTATAGAAAGAAGCAGGTAAAATAATAAATATTTCTACTGGAAAAATACAATTTTGGCAATTTTCTTTTTGTGAAGACAACACAACAATAAAAATACAACTCGTTTAAGATGGATTTAGTAGGTTGGTAATATTAGAATTTATTTTTAATTGTGGGAGAATTCAGGGATTCTTTAGATTTTTCTTTTTTGTTGTCTAGCTAAACTGCAGACTTTTTATTAATAAGCAGTTTCATATGGAGAATTTCCACATCTTTCCACAAATAATAGAAGTTAACACTTCCCAATTATTTTTCCTTTTAGCGTTGTCCATTGGGAAGTATCATCTTGAAGGTTAAATTGCTTGACATGGGGGAACCAAGAGCTTTGTTGGCAACAGCTCTCTCTCCACCTGGTATATGTGATATTGAACACACAATCCTTCAACTTAAGGAAGTAGGTATTTTTCCTAACATTGCTTTACTAATCGTATTATAGGAAAGTAATTTGAACTGATGTGTTTTTAGAGGTGCAAACTCTTACTTGCAGTTCGGAGAGGGAAGGACAAGGACACTTAACTTTAGAAACATGGGGGGCAGTTGTGGTTTATTCCCCACTTCATTGCTAGCTGCAGAAATCAGGCCAAAAGATGACAGTTTATAATGTCACTAAAACAGGACTATGACTTGGTCAAGGAGCAGGAACTAATAAACTGAGAGCACCTATTTGTAGACAAATGTCCTGAGTGAAACAAAATAGTAAAGAAATAACAGCAACTAAAGCAGTTTCGAAGGGGGGAAAAAAGCCAAAATTCTGGTGGCACCCTTCTTTTCTACTTGGAGGATGTGGGGAGAACAGAGTCATAGTTTGCAAATCTGCATAAGGAGGTAGATCACAATGCTAATGCTCTGCGATCGTAAGCTCTGGGGTAGCATTTAATAATATTAAATATATCTTTCTTTGGACACACATTTGAGTACCAGTTTAGAAGGAGCATACTGCTTTTGCATATTTGATTTGCACTGCATGAGTCTTGCCTGCATGCAAAAATGAGGGCTTTTAGAATTAACTCAAGCCAGAGGTGGGCAAAATATGGCCCATCAAGGGATTTTGTCTGGCCTGCAGTGGATCCATTGGTGCCTCCTGGACCTGGGTTTTGGTGTGTGAGGTCAGCCCGACTGCTTCTGGGTGCACAGTGGGGCTGGGGCGACATGGTGGCTGGGCTTGCTTCCTGGCAGCCCTGGCGCCTTCCGGTTGCTGCTGTTGCCAGATCTGGCCCCGCTGCCTTGGCACACCAGCCTGTCTGCCTTGTGCCTACCACTGGGGGCAGGACCCACGTGGCCGTGTGAATGGTATGGGGCCATGGGCAGGCAGAGAGTGGCATCCAGGACTGGGACTGGTGGGTGGAGCTAGGATTGGGATCTTGGCATGGTGACAGCATAGGACTAGGGTCCAGGGTAGAGCCATAATCCACTCCCTGCTTAGCCCTGCAATAGGCATCAATTCTGTGAGCAGGGGCATGTGACGAATGGACTGTGGCTCTGCCCCCGGCCCTGGCCTTGTGCTGTCACATCCCCAAGATCCCTGCCCTGCTGGATACCGCTCCCTGCCCACCCAGCCATGTACCCTGCCTGCATGGATCCCAGCCCTGCGCTGACCTAAGGAGGTCAGTCAGGGTCGGGCATCAGGGCAGAGCTGTGATCTGCTTTCCACATGCCCTTGCCCATAGAACTGGCATCCATCACGGGGGCATATGTGGAATGGATCATGGCCCTGCCCTGGGCTTTGGGCCCATACTATCACAGCCTCATGATCCTGATCCCAGCTGTGGCCCAGGTTCCTGCCCATCCTGCTCCTGGATGTCTCTTCTTGACTTCCCGTGGCCCCATTCTAGCCACCCAGCTGTGTGTGGAGCAGAGCCACTCAGGGAGTTTTGGCAAGTTGTTGACCTGGGGGGGTGCTGACCCAGTCCATAAAAGCTCACCAAAACTCCCTAAGTGGCCCTCTGGCCCAAATAATTGCCCACCTCTGACTTAAGCCTGCAGTTGTTTTTAATACAAAGGTCACAAATATTGGCTAAATTTATACGCTCTTAATCTTATAATCTCTCTTGTAAAGGTAGGAGCTCTTGCAATTAGTGCACAAACTGAAGAAGAAAATCCTTATGATGGTGAGCTGACTTTTTTAGGAAGAGTGTTGGCACAATTACCTGTGGATCAACATCTTGGCAAGCTAATAGTCCTTGGCCATGTCTTTGGATGTTTAGAAGAGTGCCTTATTATAGGTAAGGGAGGAAATAGAAATTATTTAAGAAAAGTCTCCTTAAAGTTGCATCCACACATGCTGCAATGCTTCATTTCCATTTATTCTTGTTACAGCTGCAGCACTGTCTTTGAAGAACTTCTTTGCAATGCCTTTCAGGCAGCTCTTTGATGGATACAGGTATTTTTACCTTCCAGATATTTAACATCTTTAAAAATACTGTTCCTCTTGTCTTCCAGACTTCAGGATTTGGGGGCTAGACTAATCTCTGTTGGCACTTAGCTGTGCTTCCGTAATGGCCAGTGTTACTTGCCTTGTTTTCATGCACTTATGGAAGGCACTGAGATATTGCAGTGAGGAGGGCTGTCTAAGAACTTTTTAGAATAGCTTTAACATTATTTTTTGCATTCCCAGGAGCAAAATAATTTTTTCTGGGAATAGCAAGAGTGACTGCATTGCTTTCGTCAAGGCATTTAAGGTAATCATATTGTCTGGTCATCTTGTCTGGTTAAATTAGAATTGAAACCAAGTTTTGCAAATTATTTTTTTTTCTGTAAGCCAGCTCTGACTGTCAGAATAAGGTATTGTTGTTTGCACTCCAAGGCATATCGCGTGTTCACAACATGTGTACTGGTAGTGGTGGCCCATCTGAGACGGCAGGGCATCTATGTGTACTCTCACTTAAGTCATTGGATGGTCACAGATAGATTCCACCAGAGAATGGTGGTGGGCCTGAGGTTTGCCCAGCTCTGCCTCTGTTTGGACTACAAGAAATGATATCACTCATCAGACAGTAACATTCATAGGGCCCATGATTCATTTGAGAATGGTGAAAACATACCTGCCCAAAATACGTTGCAGTCAGTACTGAAAATCAAACTAGCTCATTACAGTATACACTACCATAGACTTTTAGATCAGGGCTGTCCTACTTTCATGCGGCTGGGGCCCACACACTAAATAAGCCATATACTGGAGGAGTGGTGCTCTGGGATTCCCCCCACCTGCCACACAGCACCTTCAGGATCCAGCACCTCCTACTGTGGGCATGGGCAGCATGTGCATTTCTCCTGGACCCTCCCATAGCACACAGCAATGGGAAAGGAAGCTGCAGGAGCACAAGCTGCATGGTGGCCCCCATGGGTCACATGCAGCCCGTAGGCCTCCAGTTGGACAGCCCTGTTTTAGATGTGTCAGCATGCATGCGAGTGGTGTCACTTCCCAAACTCCACCTGCAAGTCATTACAGCTCTACTGTTAGGTCATTTTTTGACAAGATACCAAGCAGGCAGAATGTGCTTAATGCCACGTCACATCAAAGAATCGATACGCTGGCTAGAATCCAAGAATGTAAGAGGGAGGGCCCTTTTCAGCCCCTTCCTGGGGGCGGATCCCCATGAACAGGAACATGCATTTCCCTGAGGACAAACTGCAGTGGCATAATGTGTGCCACTGCTTCTTGTCCCTGGTGAATGCCTCTGCACATGTGCTCTGGTTCACAGCGCATTGCCACAGTTGGGGTAAGGGAGTCTGGGGCTAGCACCTGGACTGGCCCCAGCAGTCTTACCTGGCATCCTCTGCGGGCGGCAGCTGTGGTGATCTGGAAGCAGGGAGCCTGGTCAGCAGCTGGAGCCTGGCTCTGGCTGGCCAGGCTCTTGTTTTGGGCAGCATGTGCTGCCGCCACATATGCTGCCTCACTTTTTTTAGGTGTGTGGTTTTTTTTTTTTTTAATGGATCTCCTTGTATCTAAAAACTCGACTGCGCTGCTAATTTTCAGCACAGGGAACACCTGCATCTGCGGCACATGCAGTGTGTGGTGCTGCAGATAGGTCTTTGGTGCCCCACACCACAGGTGCACGCTTGCCTGGACACGCCCTTGATGATGAAATTGATCACAGGTGCTTTAGGGATGGGTTTGGTGTCCCTGAATGAAGGTAAGTACTTCTCAGTGTGGCAGCTTATCAAGCTGTGGACTTGACTTCATCAAGATGGCATAAACTCAGTGGTTCTTCACATTCTAAGAGTTGGCAGTAAACTGGTAGGAGTTATTGAGCAGTCATGAGGGGTTGGTGCAGAGATCCATCGAGAAACAAGTATTCCTCTGTTAGGGGTCTTGGTGGTAGACAACTTTGGCACCAGGGACAATGACAGTTATGAGACCTGTGACCAAAGGGGGCATAAGATTGGGATCACTGCTTTCACTTTCCTTCTGGTATGGAGTCAAGTCTTCCCATATGTACAGAATACCCAGATTTCCAGGGCGATATCCATGATCAAATGAAATACAGACATGGTAATTGTCATATTTACCTAAGATAGTTTTGGCTGGACAGCCTCTTACAAAGGTTATTTCCAGTCACCTGCCCTGTTCCCAGATTATTGAGCTTTAATTGCACATCACTGTGCTGCATCCAGACCTAAAGTATTTCAGTCTGAATGTTTAGTTGAGTACTATGGACAGAGGATGGTTCATGTGTCTGAAAGGAGAAGTGATAGAGAGCAAGAAGATGCACAGCTTATTGCTTAGAATGGGATTTTTTGACCAGGTCAGGCTCTTGTACTGAAGATCCTCAAATCCTTTGTTGAATTTGAAATATACTAACCTTGTGTACAGCTTTTTTCAAGACTCTACTACAATGCTATTAAGGAGTAACTTGGTCCAAAACAACTTCTGCTTGGGATTTGCCATCGTTGTTGTGTGGGTCATACAGTCTCCTCTTTTGAGCCTCTTTTGGATAGTGATTACCAGGGTCCTGGTTTTTGTTTAAAAATCACAAGCTCCGATTTAAAAAAAAAAAAAAATTACAAATTCTCTGATTAAAGCCCCCCAAGTCTGCAATTAAAATGAAACACCACCATATATGTAGGTATCAATTGAACAAAATGTTTTATTGATATATTTACAATTTTAAAGCAATTTTGGAAGCCTACCATTGCCTCAGTAATGATAATAAAATAAATTTTAAGTAACTATGAATTTTGGTATTTGATTTTGGGTTTTTTATCATGGAAAATCAGAGCTCCCCCTGTCCCCTTTGCTCACGAGGGTGTAGGTCCAGACCCCTCGCTCCCCACCCACAGCCCCCCGGCCCTGCTGGTGCCCCTCACCCCAGACACACAGATGCCTGCCTCCCTCCCCAGCCCTGCCAGAGGGGCTCCCTAGCTGCCAGGCCTACAGGGCCAGGCATCCTGGTCTGCAGCAACACGAGCCCATGGGAGGCATAGGCTGCTGTGGCTGAGTGGAGCCCAGCTCTTTCCTCTCCCACAGGCAGCATGGCCAGAGTGGAGCCCATGGTGGGGTTGGGGCCAGGGCTAGGGCTGCCCACTTTGGCCTTGGGCTCCCTGCCCTCCCTCTGGGCCTCCACAGCTCAGTGGGTGGGACCCAGTGTGGCAGGGAAGAATGGGGCCAAGTGGGGAAGCTTGTTGCTGAGCTCTGTGCTTTCATGGCGGGGTGCCCCCTGCCTGTCCAGCAGCAGCAGGGGGTACAGTTCTGTGCTGCCACCTCCATTGCTGCTGGTTGGCATCTGTAATAATATATTTTCATTTTATTTTTTTAAATACTTTTTCCTGACTTGTGTGCCTTTGTTCTGTGTATATATAGAAATGATTGCATAATAGCTCAGGATGAAGTCTTACTCTTGTGAGGGGTGTGGGGAGTATGGGGGGGGTGTGGGAGTATGTGTGGATGTGGGTGGGTGGGTGAATATGGGGTTTGTGGGGATGTGTGGGTATGGAGTTTGTGGAGGGGGGAGGGTAGCTGGGGGTGTGTATGACGTGTGCATGTAGCAGTGAGTGGGGCTCCCCTCAGAGGCGTGAGTGGTTGCCGTGTTTGTGGGGTGTGTAATTTGTGTATGGGGGAGGGTATGGTTGTGGGGTTTGGGAAGGAAGGTATGTGGGGTGTGCATGGGAGTCCCCACACATGCCCCACTGAGCTGGTACGCCCTTGCCCCACAGCCTAGAGCCTGTGCATCCTGCAGTGCCTCCCCTGCCACTGCCAATAGCCCGTGCCTGCTCCGTGCCACCTGGCACATCCTGCTGCCCCTGGGCATGCAGCAGGGCTGCAGCGGCTCCTTCCGGCTCCTGCCGCCTCTGGCCCCAGCTCTGCGGTAGCAGTGGGGACCAGTTCGTGCAGCCCCGACCCCACACGTCCTGTGCCAGATTCAGGCTCGCCTGTCTGGGCTGAGCAGTGGCAGCAGCAGCCAGGCAGAAACTGTTGCTTGCTGTGGGGGAAAAGTGGCCCCTTCCCCTTACCACTGCCAGGCAGTTTTTGGTGCAGCTGCCCAGAGCCCGTGCTGCATCAGGCTGCCATGCGTATCCGTCACTGCTGCCTCCACCTCTGAGCTGCCCTGCAGCTGCTTGGCAGCCCGGCGCTGCATGCACTCTAGGCGGCTGTACCAAAAACTGGCAGGCAGCGGAAGTGGGAGGAGCCGCTTTCCCACATGCCGAGAAATAGTTTATGCCCAGCTGCTGCCACCTACTGCTGCTCAGCCTGGAGCACTGAGCCTGGAGCTGGATCTGGAGCCCAGGCTCAGCAGTGGCAGCGTGGAGCAAACTGCTGCTCAGTGTGGGGCAAAAGCAGCCTCTCCCCCTCCAGCTGCCAGTGCTTCCTTGTGCAGCTGCCCAGAGCCTATGCAGGGCTGCCCTGCGTCTGTGCTGCACTGCCCCATGGGGCAGCCCAGAGGTGGCAGTCACATGGTGGAGATGCAGGGCAGCCCCGTGTGGGCTCTGGGTGCCTGCACCAGGAAGTGCCAGCGGTGACAAGGTGGAGGGGGCTGCTTTTGTCTTGCACTGAGCAGCTGGAAGAAACCACCGCCACCCTGCCTGCCTAGAAAGGCAGCCTAGCTGTGAAGCTGCCTCAGCCCTATTGCATGCCCAGGGGGTGTCAGGACGAGCCCAGCTGGGCAGCACCTGCTCCTGCCTCACTCCAACTCCCTCATGCCTTGATCTTCCCCCCCCCATACCCTTTCCCTCCCCCAACCCCTTCCTCCACAACAGACTTCACCAGCTGGTTGCTGCTGTCCATGCTGCGGGGCTGCATATCAGCAGTTGGATCAGTATCGACCAATATGAAAAATTGGCCAGTGGTATCGGCCCAAAAAATCTCTATTGGTGCACCCCTACCCAAAAGTGCTCTTGTTCTTGAAATAGTTGTCTTTTAATTAGTGTGCAGAAATTACCTTATCACATTAAAATTGTAATAGGAATGTTTGGAAAAAATATTTATGAATGCATTATATTTATTTGTAAATAGCAGTGATATAACCTGATATGTTCTTGCATAATGAAAATCATTTCTTTACTTTAGGCATGGCAGACTTGTAGGCAGAGAGGACAACTGAGACATCCCAAGGTTAGCTAATGCTTTTTTATTCATGATTGAAGACTGGTGTTGAAGTGGCAGAAAAAGGATACAGATCATCAGTGGTCTCTTTACTTCAGTCCTCTTCCTTAATTATACATGAAAGTGAAGTACAGGTTGAGTTTTGTTTAAACAGTATAATAGGAATGAAAAGACCTCCTGAGTTACCAATCCATTGCCTTCTGTTGCAATGAATCCTTTCCAGAAAATTACATCCCATCTCAACACTGTCTTTAAGCTTAAATAGTTGCTTTGATTTCCTGGTGTTTACTTCCATGATGCATTTCTCTTTTTTTGAGAGCAGTCCTGTTCTGCCTTCAGTCTCCATTCTGCAGGGCAGGGAAATGCAACACTTCTGCTCTTTAGTAAGACAGGCTCACCCTTGCCCTTATTACTTGACTGTACATGACCAAATTCAAATGAATTTTACTTCACTGAGGGTGGCCAGAATTTGACACCATGTTCTAGCTGAGGTCTGGGTACTTCAGTATTCTTTCAATAGTGTAAATAGAGTTCATAATTCACTACACGTTAATAGAAAATGCTGTGAGACTCCTGGATCCTGACCTCTTTTATCCTTTCTTCTTTTTCTTCTTCCATTTGGTCACTCTTCAATTTTGTCCACCTCTAGGACACAAAAAGCATATTCTAAATGATGGAAATGTTCAATCTGCCTTTCCTGACCGATTCTCTATAAATGCCCATGTTGCCATGGGAAGTCCAGCAAGCATGCTTGGCTTCTTTTACTTTTCAGAAAAGCTCTATTACTGCCATCTTGGCACCTAGTAAGGCAGAAATGTAAATAAGGCTCTCCAAGAGCTCTGTAGGGATGTTTACTAGTAAAAACAGGTGGTGCCAGATGAAGCAGATCAAGCTGTGGTGGGATGCATCCCAGCATAGCTGACTCACTTCACTGGGCGAAAAACACATAGCTTGTTTTCTCGCATTGGGATGACAGGCAACAGGTTGCCTTTGCCAAGAGATTTCCCATTTTCCTTGCTGGCCTGTGCCTTCTTGCTGAGACCCAGCTCCTATGCTGACCCATGTCTTCCACGGAGATGCAGCTTGGCATAGGACTTCGGGAATCTCCAGTGCCCCATGCCTCCACTCCAGGACTCGCGCTGACTTGTGCTTCAGCATGAAGGGCAGGGCAGCAAAGGACCTGGGGAATCCCCAGAACCCTGGGCCTCCGCACCAGGACCCACACTGACCCGTGCCTCTGGCATGGATCCCAGTAGGAAGCCAGGGGTATGCAGGACCTAGGGAATTCCCAGCGCCCCATGCTGGGTCCTGCGTCAACCTGTTCTTCATGGAGGCAAGGGGAAGTGTGATGGAGGAACGGTTTGTTGGGTATTCCCTGGGTCTTGTGCCTCCATGCCAGGACCCATGTTTGCTTTCCCTGCTTATAGAGATATGCTTCTGGAGATCCCAGGGCTGGTCTCCAGAAGCAGGGAATCCCAATTTCCCTTACAGAGGGGCACTCCCAGACTTCCCAGGGTGTGTCTCTATAAGTAGGGAAAGCTGGGCAGATGCTTTGGGGGTTCAGGGGCCTGATCCTGTGCAGAAATTCCTAGGGTATGCAGGATTGGCCCCCTCAAGCCCCCGGAGCCACCTACCCAGGGTGGCTGGATGGTGTGGGTAGCTCCAGGCTGCCCGCACGCCCCCCTCCACAGAGTACAATAAAGCAGCATTATTTACACTAATTTTTGTCACCCTATTGCTATGGCATGCTAAAGAATAGGGACATCTATTTTTATGGTGACACAAATGCAACATCAAACAACATGTTTCTGCCCTGTGAGCTCCCTTTCATATCCCAATGGGACAGGAAATCCAGGTTCCTTATTAATCTCATCTTGGGGAATCTTTTGTACCTGGTTATTTCTAGGGAAAGGGCCACATACCTTACAAGAAGTTTATAAAATAAAAAAAGGTCAAAGAATCGCAAGAGAAGTTGCTGAGGAGGTACACCTTTCTTATGCAGGTAGTGGAGAAACATACCCTTTGGCTCCTCTTGAATGCCGGCCTGGCAATAAAAATGCATAGCATGCACTGAAGTTCTCTTGAGTGACCAGGACAAATTATCTACAGGGTCTGTCTGTCTACTAAAAATCATATATCCAGAGAATATTTCCTAAAATAATCTGTCATGAAGATTTGTCATATGCAAGGCCTGGACTGGGAAATTGTTTTTAGGTGAAGTGCTTCTGATCCAGAATGCCATATTACTTGTGTCGTAGTTATGTGTTGCCTCATTATATATTCAATTTCTAATTGACTTGTAATATGTGACGTGTCTCTCTAATAGCTACTTTGGAAGTACTTGTTTTGAGTGAACATATATATAAGTGGGTGTGCCACAGTTTTATAGCCATCTTTCATGAATTTGGACTGTTTTAAAAAGAGAATATGGTAACCAGTAAGGAAGCTAGTAATGTAACAAATATCCATGTTTGTGTTAAATCTTTAATTTTCTCTCTGTCTTTCAGGAGGAACTTGATTGGGGTCGATCAAATTATATTCAGATAAAGAGAATCAGAGAGGTGAGTTGAAATGCACAACAGTTGCTTAATATTTATCCAATACCTCACCTTATGAATTTTCTGTTTATCTTATGATCATGGCAGAATCTACAGTTTTAAAAATACGAAGAACTAATACAGTTTATAGACATGCTCCGGTAGGTGGGTGGGGCACACTTTAATTAGCAAGTCACGCTAATTAAAAGCAGCCAAGCTTCGTGTGTATCAGCGTCCTCGCTCATCAAACCAGCTTGAGTTCAAAGTGCCCCACTGCCATTCTTCAGCATGGGAACGCTGATACACATGACACTGGAGGCCGTTGGAGTGCATTAATTTCCATGCTCCAACAGACTTGATTAATCTGGATTTACAGCACATCAGAGCAGCCTTGCTGTACATCTGTAGGAGCCCTAAGACACTACCTAAGAATAACGATACATCTTTGGGAGAGCTCATTGAATTTAAAATAAAATTTTGAGGCCACCCAATATCTTCTCTTAAGCTCTTTCTTCAAGATTATTTACCAGTTATATAGTCCATGTGTAACTAGCTGCAGTTGGAATTTAGTGCTTTTTTGACATTGCATTATTTTGTTCTTATCTTTAGAGTAATTTTAAGCACTTAGACAAATGCAACAAGCACGATTGTGTTGTAAAGATTAAAATGGCAAATTTTACATGGCATTTTGTTACTAAGGTTACTACAGGAGTTAATGGAAACTTCATCGTAGAAGTGCTTCAAGCTGTGGCATGCCTAGGGGAAAAATAATTAGAACTCCTGAATAACCTTGATTGGCAGAACATGCGTTTGCCCACTCACATACGCTAGCAGCAAGGTTCTTAATTAGGCAACTGTTTTGCATTAGCGCACATACATCTGGGCATGATTCCATCACATCAGACTCCTGGCATGAGTGATGGTACAGGGAAGTGCACACAGAGTTTAAATAGAGGGTTCAAAAGGCACAAAAAAGCAAAAGCTTCCCTTACAAGTCATCCTGGGAGCAGCAGTGGGTGCAGAAGCAAAAATGTATTTAGTTTGTGCATCCTTCATGCTTTCATTGTAAACTACAAATTCTAGCATCTTATTAAACAGAACATCAGAAAATGAGGCTCATTAACAAAGTACTTGCTAATTAATCTCGAAAAGGTAGAGGTTGTTACATAAAAAGCAAGCTAGTGGAAGCAATTTATGTAATATACATACGAAAGTGTCTTTGAGTCAAGCATGTGCAAGGAAGTGGTTTGGTTGCCTTTGCAGTCTGAAGTTGGTTTGTTTGTACATATGTGGTATGGTAGTATGCAGTCATAAAACCGAGAGGTTTTTTTCCCACTGGGATTCCTTCCTCTTTTAGTTCAGAGGCTGGATAGCATTCATTAGAAAAGCCCGGTATTTTTTTATTATCTTCATTCAACGCTAGGCCTTCATCACTTTCTATTCAAAATCTGCCCTGAAAACAGAATGACTTATTTCCTAGTAGGCTTTTCTAGGGCACTTATCTCCCTCTCTAGTGTCCAAGAGCTTAAAAAACATTATTGATGTGTTTTTTAAATCCTTTTTTTAAATCTGAGTGAAGTGAAATTATATTCGCCATTAAACATCTGAGAAACTGAAGGTCCAGGGATTTAGGCCCAAATTGTCAAGTGTTCCCCTAGGTTTGGTCTCCCAGAGTGAGAAGCCTGGAGTATAATTATTTTCTCCAATATTAAATATTTTTCTAGCACTTCATGGGCACATTTATACAAGACACTACTGAGCAGTGGTTACTGTGCATTCATGTAGTACTTGAATAATCAAATACTAAATAAGTGCACAGTAACGAGTTACTGTGCAGTAGTGCTGGCGAATGCCTTTTTAGTGATGCTGCTGCACAGTAGCGTATTAGCACTGTTGGTGCTGTGATGCGCTACCACACGATATTATTTAGTTACTGCGCAGTTAGTGTCTCATGTAGATGTGCCCCATATGTTCCAACTGACTACCATTGGCTCCGATTGCAGTTGAAAGCTATTTGAAAATCTAGCCCAGGCTGCTGGTACTCCAATCAAGACCAGGCTTTTTTCCCCCACCCTGCTGATTGGGGGGTTGGCACGATGATGACCTTGACTTAGATTTGAGTAAATACAGTAATTATACCTTCACAGAGAGTTTAAGAGTGCATTCTTCCATATCCTGAAAATTTGATCTCCTTTATGACAAAGCAAAGGCCAAATCTCAGTGTACATTATGTAGGGCAGCTACCACAACTCCATGAAGGAGTGCATCTGTGCTAGTAGGGAAGCTGTTCAGGCTGGCTGTCTATCTTCACCTAAAACAATGAGTTGGTGACTACTCCATTGTTCTTGTTGGTTTATTTTCATAGATGCATAGATGTTAGGGTTGGAAGGGACCTCAGCAGATCATCGAGTCTGACCCCTCTGACCCGGGCTGGAAAGAGTGCTGGGGTCAGATGATCCCAGACAGGTGCTTGTCTAGTCTCTTCTTAAAGACCCCCCAAGGTAGGGGAGAGCACCACCTGCCTTGGAAGCCCATTCCAGATTCTGGCAGCCCTCACCGTAAAGAAGTTCTTCCTGATGTCTGACTTGTATCTGCTCTTTGTCAGCTCGTGGCTGTTATTTCCAGTTACTCCAAGGGGTGACCTGGTAAACAGAGCATCTTTCTCTCTTCTGATCTTCCAGTTTATTGTGTGTGGTATAATGCAGAATTCACTAACTGAATAATACACTCTGAGGACCTGGCTTAGAGGGTGGTTGGATCACACTGTTGGATGTTTTTTTCTCGGAGTAGTTATTAAGCAGTCTACTGTAAGAGACTGATGCTTGTGGTTCCTACAGAAATGAATAGGAGATCTCCCTCCCATTTCATTAGTCGGTTACAAATAAAGGATTTAATAGATTTGTTCTGTAGATGGTTTTGATCTGTTCAGCCTTATTTAAAGTTAAAATTTCAGGTGGCTGAATTGTTTGAAGAACTGAAAAATCGAATCAAATCATTCAACATGCATGTTAATACTCAACCACCTGCTATGGATCAGGAATATGAATTCAAACAACGCTTTATTCTTCAGGTAAGTACTGATTTACCCAGTTTCTTGATCCTGTTGTGGAAGGGGAGAGCAGAACATTAATTGACAATGCTTGCTTCTAGTCCTTTGTTACAGGTTGCTTGCATCAAGTACTAATGAGTGCCTATTAAATTGCATCCGTCAAAGTAGTTTTTCTTCCTTTTAGTATTGTCACCAAATTCATACAACTGAAAATCTTTTGTTCTGGGAGGATCTAAACTTCTGTGTTAAAGGAAGAAATATGAATGTTGTTTGTAAGAAGTAGAAATACAGTTTATTTTACTGTTAATGTTTCAGAATTGATATTGAGCAGTGTCCCAAGTCATAACAAGATGTCATTTTGCTGTGATTGTCTGAATTAATCGTTTTTAAAGTAAAAAAAGCAACTTACTTAGGAAAATGGCACCGGAGTTAGATAACAAAAATGTAAATTATGCCAGGAGTAAGCTGGGGCATAATTCCCTCCCTCCTGTGTCCACATTTGAACCTTCATTGGCATAAGGATCATGTCAACTATTGTGGATATAGTTTTTTTGGTTTTCTATCAAATGAAATACCTGTGTGAAAACAAGCTTGTTACCAGTTAGTACAAACAGGACAGTTACGTGTTATATGAATGGCAACTGATTAATTTGAGTTTCTCATATCTTTATCATCCGTTCCTTTGAGGTTTGCTGTGAAATTATTTTGAGACAACTTTGAGCACGTCTTAAATAATATACATAATACTTTCCATGTAGTTATTGTGACAACTTTTAAAATCAAAACGTTTTTATTCTGAAGGTTTACAGGAAGGATGGGCAAAATACGGCCTGTGGGATGGATCTGATCTGCCAAGTGGCTGGATCTGGCCCATAGCTCTGTCCCCATGATGCTCCACATGGGCCCCAGCCCCACCAGCTCCTGCTGGGGCAACTTGCACTGCATTCCTGCTGGCCCAGGCCCCAGCCAGCATGTAGCTTCTCATGGCGCTGTACCCAGTGTGGCTGCTGTCAGCTGGATGCTCTCCTGCTCCCCTAAGGGAGTCATGAGGGGAGCCCGGTGTGATGAGCAGCCACTGTGGGTGAGTTGGAGTGGGTGGAAGGTGGCTGGGAGCTGGAGCTCCATGCGCCGAGTAGGAACCGCCCAGCTGGAGGTTCCCTCCTGCCCGCCCGCTCACCCACTCATCAAAACTCCCTTTGTGGCCCTTGGGCCCAAACTATTCCCCACCCCTGGTTTACACGCATCATTCCCAACCATTCCAGTAGATTTCCAGATGTTATTTGGGTAGATGATAGCTACCTATGTTAATACTGAAAACTATTCCAAAAGGCTTTTCATGAAAGCATGTTCTTTAGAATCTGATTTGTGAAATAAAATTTCAGTTAGGTTCCCACCTACCCCCCTGTAGAGGACTTTCCCCATGAAGATCTCATTGCTTATGTTTTAGACCTGTATTAAAGGATAAAATATCTTAACGAGAGGTACTACATGTAATGTGTTGCATCTTAGCAAAAAAAATATTTCATTTCAGATTGTAATAGCTGGTGCTTTCTATCCAAACTATTTTTCATTGGGACAATGTGATGAAGAAATTGCTGTGAAGAATCTGACTGGCAGAGATCCTAAAACCACTGTAATGGTATGTTAATACAGTGAGTAACTTATTGAAATCTTGTGCAACTAAAATAATTGTTGAGGCTGGTTTTGTTTTCTCTGGGAAAAGGACAAGAATAATTACCTTTGCTTCAATCCTTATGCAATAAGTCTTCTTCCTTTTTTCCCTGCTGGTGACTGGACAATTTTGAAAGAATTCTGGCTAAGGTCTACCTCCGACTATTTTGAATATAGGCGCCGACTCCATGGGTGCTCGTGGGCTCAAGCACCCACTGAAAAATAATTAGTGGGTACTCAGCATCCACGAGTCGCAGCCATGGCTGCTTGCAAGTGTTAAAAAAACAAACAACCCCCTTACCCCCCCAAAACTGTGCTTTACCTGCAGAAGTAGCGTGTTACTTCAACCCAGCTCTGCAGCATTTGTAAAGGTCGGAGCTTCAACAGGGCTTTTTGTCACTTTTAGCTAAAGTTGATTCAATCAGTTATTAGGTAAGTGCCAAAAAGGCCCACCGAAGTGCCCAATCTTTACTTCAACCTGGCTCTGCAGCATTTGTAAAGTGCTGCCTCCTCTGGGTATGTGCTGGGCTGGCGAAGGAATGCATGGAGATTAAAATAAAGCATGGTTTGGGGGGTGTTGTTTTTTTTAAGCCTGCAGGTACCCACCTGCAAAAACCAAGGTTGGCGCCTATGGTTTTGAATGCTGGTGTCATGCAGCTATAACCAGCTTCTTGAATATGGTAAAGTATTTTAAATGTATATTAGGACTGTCAAGATTACTTTTTAGTAAGCATTTATAATTAAGCCCTTGAAGTATGTAACTCAAGTTTGAATTCCATACCTTTTTCCTCCACATGTACCATAGAATCATAGAAAATTAGGGTTGGAAGGGACCTCAGGGGGGCCACCTAGTCCAACCCCATGCTTAAAGCAGGATCCGTACCCAACTAGATCATCCCAGCCAAAAAACCCCAAACACCTGTTTCGTACATCTGTTTGCTACTTCAAGATTACTCACAAATGTTGCATCGCAGGAATTTCCTATTTAAAGTGTCATATTTTATTATCAAATGGAACAAAATGTTCGGGTTGCAGGGCAAGGTACTCTGCAAATGCCATAATAGGGGGAGCTGGGTTGAACACATTTTAAATGGCCCAGGGCACAGAGACCCCAAGATGGGGGAGAGGCTTCCTGATCCTGGGCTTCCAGGACTTCTAAAAAATTGTGGATGCAGCTCATGTGGTCATCCTGAGAACATCGTTGACCCACCCATCTGTCTAGGGCAGTCTGCCCACCTGACTCTCCTGCCATGCCTTTGTTGGAACTGAATAGTTGTTCATAGGTGGGAGGCTGCCCATGCATTACCTGATGTCAAGGGCGTAATACATTGCTCTGATCTTCCCTTTACCATGTCCCGTGCCTTGCAGATGACATCCAAGATCACTTCCATCTTCCTGGCCCCTTAGCTGGGCTGCGCTCAGTTTCTGGCCCAAACTTAGCCTCAGGTGTGCTTGGGCCTCTCCACCCCCTCTTGCTGGGGCCCCATGCACTCTGCCGTACTCTGTATGGCCCTTCAGGCCCCCTTAGCCCTACTCCATACAGCCCTTCAGGCTTCCTCTGTCTCTTGTGTGGTCCTGACCCCTTGTAGACCTTCAGGCTGCTCCATTCAGGCCCTATTCTAGGACAGGTATCAGGCCTACTGCCCCACACTCTGGGCTGACTCTGGCCCTCTCTGGCCTGGGGCGTCCCACGCTTGGCCTATGGCCCACTTGAGCCTCAGGTGTCAACATACCTGGACCCCTAACTTGGCCTCTTGCTAGGCCTCGTGTTTTTAGGCATTGGGCCTCACACTGTGGGCTGACTCCAGCCCCAGGCCTTCTCTGGCCTCAGGCATCCCAAATTCAGCCTGTGGCCCACTCAAGCCTCAGGTGTCTGTCAATATGCCTGGACCCCAAGCCTGTCCCCCCCCATGGGGTTACCCACAAGGCAGTGGGGGCTGTGGCTTTTCAGCACCCTATCCTTGCCTTTCACTGGGGAGGCACAGGTGTGGCATTTCTTGGAGACTGCCCCACCACACTATCCAACCCAGCAGGGTGCAGTTTTGAGTCTTACTTAGGACCAGGAACCTTCTTCTTTGCCATAGTTCCTACCCTGACCTCCAGGTGTTCTGAGTGCTGCAGTCCACAGGCTGAGTGATGTTGCTTCTGTGGCTTCCTGCATGTAACTGTCGGGTCTGCTTCTAGGGCCTGGGTTTATACTGAGGCTTCCCAGCCCTTCTCCAATCCGGTGGTCCCCTTGCAGTCATGTGATTGCCTAATTGAGCCTAACTGCACCTGCTGGCTGCTCCACAGCCAGCTCAAGTCCCTTAAAATGGCAGGCACCAAAGGTGCTCAGCCACAGCTGGGTGGTCCTGGAGCTGGGCCAACTATCTGGGCTTGTTGGACCTGGCCTGGACAGTCCTAAAACTCACTAGAACCTGGGGGAAGCCTTGAGTCTGGGACAGAGCTGCCCAATCTGCTGGAATGGACTAGGCAGTTCTGCAATGGCGCAGCTGAGATCAGAGGAAATGTTATGCCCTACCCCAAACATTGCACTCTTTGCTGTGCACATCTGGCATGGCAGGAGGCATAAAATTCTTCCAATCACAGTCATATTAATGTTCTTGCATCTGGCAGGGGGCTTCCAATATTTCCTGTGGTTAACATGTTAGATGTCTAATAAATGTGACGTCTACCAGGGGCCATACAGACTGCACTTTTGCTTGGTGGCCATTTTCAAAACCTTTTCTTTCCCTCAAGTCCTTTCCAGGAATGCAGTTTTTTCTATATGAATCCTGTGTTTGCCTCTCTAGTAGGTAGAGTTGTCAAGGTGGCTAAACAGTTTCATAGCAACTCAAAACTGGATTTGTTGCCAGTTTTGCAATTCTTAGTAGCCAATTACTAAACTGTTAGCATATTGTGCTTAACATTTGTTTACAGATATGCCACTGGAATCTTAAAGTACTCACTGCTTTGCTCACAGAAAGGAAACTAATAGCTGAAATTTCACTTCAGATCTCGTTACCGTATTTACCTGAATCCAAAGTGACCTTGAATTTAAGACACCTCTGCCAATAATTAAATTCCACACATGGAAAATTTCTAATTTGGTATTATTTTTATAAACAGACCTACTGACAAAAACTGCAGTAATACAGGTAAGTCATAAATTCAGCATTAACTTCAGTTCAGTTCAAACAATTTGAGTTATATTAGGTTCTATCCAGACCGTGGTGAGTGCTGCTCCTTTCTTAGATCCGGTGACCAGGGTAAGTCAGACCTGGCTGACTGCTGTTCCCAGCAGATGTCTGGAAAGTTCAGGTCCCCCATGACGACCATGTCCTTTGACCTAACTACCTCTGTGAGCTGACTTAAGAATTCCCAGTCTACCTCTTCCCCTTGGTTGGGTGGTCTGTAGTAGACCCCCACTGTTAAGTTCTTTTCCCCTTGACTTCCTTGTATTCTAACCCAGAGCACTTCAGTGTGCTCCTCCTCTGACCCAGTGCTACTCATTGAGGACGTGTATTTTTCCTTGACGTAGAGCGCCACACCCCCAACTTTCCTCCCTGGCCTGTCCCTCCTGTACAGCCTATAGCCCTTGATATTCACCGCCCAGTTGTGGGTTGGGTCCCACTACGTTTCAGTGAGCCCCACTATGTCTGGGTTGGTGTTAGCTAGCAGGAGGGTAAGTTCCTCCTGCTTGTTCCCTATGCTATGAGCTTTAGTGTAGAGGCATTTGGGGTCTCCTGAAGATGCATGCACTTCCCCCCCAATGCCAGTACTACCTGGGCCCCTGTTGCTTACCTGGGTATTTGTTCTGCTCATTGTCAGTCTAGGCTGGGCTTTTCTTGTGGGTGACGCTTGGTTTAGTGGTCCAAGGCCTCCTCTGCCCTTGTTTTCCCCTTCCCCCTACGAGCCTAGTTTAAAGCCTGCCGGAGGAGATCAGCCAACCTAGAAGAGAACACGCGCTTACCTTTGGGGGAAAGGTGAAGCCCATCCCACCCGAGCGTGTGTCTCGTCCTGATGTGCAGGTCGTTGTCCAAGAAGCCGAAGCTGTCCTGGAGACACCATTTCTGAAGCCGCAAGTTGATGTGGGTCTCGTGTTGTCTTCCATGTCCTCTCACTGGTAGGACAAGAGAATACCACCTGTGCCCCTATCTCTTTCAGCATGCCTCCCAGAGCGTGGTAGTTCATCATCAGGTGATCAGGGCTTCTCCTGGTCGCATCATTAGTGCCCACATGGATTAGGACAGTAGGCCGGATAATGGCTGGGATCATCCCAATCACATCCTGAATCTTTGCTCTGGGCAGACAGTAGACCTTGCATGTCGAGGGGTCCTGGCGACAAATGGTACCCTCTGTACCTCTCAGGGTGGAGTCGCCTATGATTAGCACTTGATGTTTCTTCCTCTGGGTCTGGTTAGCTCCTTCAGCCTGTTCAGAGCGTGGAGAGTGTGGAGTGGCCTCCTCTCTGGAGGTTTCCTCATCTCCTTCCTTCTCCTGCAGTGTTGCCAGGGCCTCGTACCTGT